GTGGGCTGGAGGAAAGCTAGGGGCCGCCAAACCACTGACTGATGGGCTGAGCTTTATTGGGGTCGACGAGACAATAACTATTGATGGTTAGAGACCATGAATAACATGGCTCAAAATCCTTTGCAATGATGCAGGTGGATCGATTCTTCCTCTTCTCTCAAATTCTGATCTTCTGAATTCCTTATTACCTTTTCTTTCTCTTTTTAATTTTATTTTACCGGGATATATTTTCTGAAATCATATCTTCGAACCCTAACCTTTTTGATTTCTACTGTTACCACTTCTAGTACTTGCATTACTATTGTATTGTATTTGACAATTTGCATTGCTAGTATGTCCTGAGACCAACGAGTAAGCAATGCTGTCGTTAGGAAATGAGTACTAGGTAGAGATAGCAAATCAATGGATGAAATATTGAAACTTCATCAGTTGAGGTGGTTGGGACATGTGTTACGTATGCCTAACCGCCGACTGCCACGGCGAGCTAAGTTTTTCGGTGTAAGAGTAGGTTGGAAGAAAGCTAGGGGTGACCAAACCAAAACATGGCACAAACCCATGAAATCACTGACAAGTAAACTGAGTCATGTTGGTAGATGTAGGCAATTTGGTTGGGGTCCACGGGGCGAAAGTCACCAATGGTTAGAGACCTTGAATGACATGGCTCAAAATCGTTTGCAATGGTGCAGGTGCATCCACTCTTTGTGTTCCCTCAAATTATAAGCCTCTGAATTCCTCATCTCTATCTTTTTCTTTTTAAATTTATCTCACTGAATTATACTTTTCGAATCATATCTTCGAACCCTAATCTCCATTACTGCTGATACTTCTACTATTGCTTCCACTATTGGATTTGAACTGACAATTCGATCTCTGTGTGCTAATATGGTATGGCAACTTGCACTGATGTACGTACGTACGAAGTTCTACGTTGTAGCAGACTGAATAAAGTTCTGAATGATTTATTTTAAATATGCTGACAGAGACAAACTACGGTTGCTGGAAGTGAAAGATGTGAGCATATCAGGTATATTCGTACCTGACAGACTAACTGTATGGACTGCTTTGTAGTTAGATGAAGGGAGATAAGTCGTTTATTAGTTGATGAGGTTATGAAATTCAGTTGACCGAGGAATTGAAGTGACCAACAACTACCAATCTGTCTGCTATGGTGGTTAGAAAAGAATTTAAGTGAAAAAGGTAAAAAACAGCCTAGTTCAGCATGAAATCATTTTACGGATAAATTTTTGGTCTGCCTATCGCTCGAATCTCACGATGCGTCCATCAAAACAACCTTAGAAGCATAGTGTGTGATAATCTAGAAAAAGTCTACATATCCGTGACAGTTTTGGAAAGTTATTGTTGTATTACACAATTGTATAAAAGAGTTGGATCAGTATCCTAAAAGGTGCGTTGGGTGTTAAGGCGTAGTCTCCACCAAAACAAACATGTGTGTCTAACTAATGGGTTAAGACATTTAAGTATTAGTTTGCCTAGGGGATGACCTGTGGGACAACATAAATCCTTTGATAAAGCTTGGTAACTGAGATCCACGAGTAGTCACGCTAAGCCATGTGATGTTTGCTGTTGAGTAACCGATGTTAGGCGATTAATATGGTTTTTTCAACGTTTTATGTAGCTTCACCTTGAGTATAGAAGCAGTATTCCTTTTTAGAGACGAATAAGGAAGCCATTTCTTGGTCAAACGTTCAAAGCCTACAGAGAAACATACGAGAATAATTAGACTACCGTTTAAAGTGCAAGAGAGAGAGGAGTCATTTAAGATCAACTTTGAGCAGTTTACTTACTAAAATGAACAATAAGATAATATGACCGAATGATGGCTATTTACGAGAGCGTATATTTGACATAGGAGCCCAAATGATTAGAAATCAAAGACCACTAGCCGGATGAATGGTTTTTCACGCAATAAAATAACATGCTCTCAAATTAGTATGTCAAAAAAGTTTGGTCAATAATAAGTAGTGACCCTGATAAGCTTTAGCTTCAAGCTGAATTACGAGTTAGTTACATGGTTCCAAAGCTTGAATCTGGAGATTTATTCCAGAAGCAGTGAGGTAACGCATATCCATTACGGCAATAATTACCGATACGACATCGATGCAACAACTCTACCTGAGGTCTCTCTAGAATCAATGCGGGTTCAAAGCAAGCGAATAGAAGGGTTTGCGACGTTACAAAAAAGAACTTCGCTAAAAATAGCTGAACAGAGTACACCAATCAACCCATTTAAACTCCACTTTGGGGTTGAAAGTCCTGCATACAGAAGAGTAGTGATGCCTCATGGTGAATGCTGAGACTCATCGGAAGTCACGAAACTAATGACCCTTCTGAAAACCGGTGATAATTGATATATTTATATACATGAAATGTCTAGGAAATACGAAGGGGGTCCTTGAAATAGCTGTCGAAATGAGAATATACGACTTGCCCGTGCTCGGAATGAGTGAAACACGCTGCACACAATCACGACAGGCAAAGCCGAGTTCGGGGAAGCAAAGTTTTCGGGTTCTTGTCATGACGAAGAAAATGGGTACCGCACAAGAGCTACGCTGATGCGGTCCACAGAAGCTGAATACACAGAAGTAAGCAAGACTGACTAATGCCGTTAGAGCTTACAAGCTGAAAATGTAGAAGACCAGAAAACTACAGAAAAAGTCAATCATTGAGAATCAAGAACAGCATAGTAGATGGACAGGGCACTTGTAAGAACTCTTGAATAGGCCGGCTCAACTTAACCCACCTGACATCGAAGGAGCACATACAAACCTTTCTCAATAAACTAGCAGGATCACACGACATATTATGCAGGATCAAACAGCCTACCAGTTGGAGCGTTGAAGTCAGATATAAAAGTAGTCGAAAAGATACCCTATTTTTCCTTCAGGAAGATTGAAAAGGAAGAACAAACTAGCAGACTGGATAGAGATACACCTGTTAACGATAACGAAGAGGGATCACAGTGTGGAAACCACAAAGGAGTCACATTACGGTTATTCATGTGGCCCCAAACACCATTGTGCAACTTAGAATCCACTCTGCCTCTCCAAGTGCTTTTATATAGCTACTGTGAAGGAAGTCCTACTCAATACCTTCTCGTGATGAGGGTACTAAAATTGACGACGAAGAGCGAATGTTTGCTGGAGGCCTAAACCAGGTAAGTGGGTACGGAAGACCCACATATGGGAGATAGAAAACCCTGATTGCAAACCAGTGGTGTACATGGTTCTCAGGAACCTGAGGGAAAAATGGCATGTGAACCTATGTAGGTTGCCGAATACCATTAGACTGCATCTCTTTGCGTTACTCCACTATCTTCTAGAGTAGCTCTGTAGACCGAAGGGATGGCTTCCCGAGGAAACCCCCTGCTTCGGTTTGGGTACCCAGTCCACACAAACTCAATGATTTGTATGGCACATAAGTGTTTAGGTGTTCCTTAGCACCAATAATTGTATTAAAGTAATAATCATATACTGTCAGTAACAGACAGTTTACAAGTGTTGCCAAAACGGATGAAGGATTCAGTGGACTGCCAACTCTGAGATCAACAAGTTTGTTTTCGTGAGAACCAGTCATTTACAGGCAAAACCATGAAACTGAAACTAATTATTGAACAGTCAATTCAATGGGACTCATTACTATACATCCGATCCCTTGATAATGGGAAATCATTTAACAGTGGAAAGAAAAAGTTAGTCATCTCAAACACTTAAGCACTTGGGAAAATCATCACACTCATTCTTACTATGAATTGAATTGAGTAGTGAATGAACGGCAGATCATAGATCCATTCCAGATGAAACCTGATGTCAGACGCTTATAGTTCAGTAGCGTAGGAGTGGCATCCGAAAAAAAGACCGCAACATTACAAGAGAAAAATCAAGATTTTGAAACATAACAGCAAGTACCAACCAAATCAAACTTGATAGAGACTCTACAGGAGGTGGTCCTTACGCACTCGGGCAACATTATTGATAAACGTGTGTTAAAAGTCACAGTCTAAGTCAGAAATAATCTACTCTGGCACAGAATGAGCTCAGATGATCCAAGGTAAAGACAAATGCTGCAGGTGAATTGAATACTCTTTTTGAAATTATTAAACTAATGAACTCCATCGAAAGACAACTCTAACTTGGAAAGAAAAAAGAGACACGTCGAAAAACACATACTATCAGTTGGGAGCAAGGAAAGAGACCATAAATCAAGGTTAACAACAAATGGGAAGGACAGACCAAAAAAGAATTATTTGCAGTTCTCTAGTGGATTTCTGATGCGCCAAGAAGGACTAGTCAGTAAGTTTTAATATAGAACACACACATTAGTACGAGTTCTAATTCTTCACAAAAATTTATAATCCTCTTTAGACCCAAATAGTTAAATGAGTTTTCTAAAGGTCGCAGTGTCGTCCAAAGATCGTCCGTAAATTAGTCTCATCTCCAATTTCGTTAGTCTTTACTCTGATCATTGCATTAAAGCCGTCTGTACCATACTGGATACGGACATCTGAGGGCACTTAATGAGCGACTACTAAGGTGGTGATAGACAATCAGAACCTACGATTAGAGCGTGTCTTTTTCCCTCATGGGATAACGCATCCATCTAATATGATTGCGTTTTTTAATCCAGAAAGTGATTTTGGTTTCCGTATGAATAATCTTTTAACTTCATCTAGAAATAATCAACGCCAAGGTTATCTATCATAACATGATTCAAGAACTGAGAGAAATATAGTTTGCGACATTATTTTCCTTACAACATGGTCAGCATTTGGGACTTTTGCAAGAATGGTATAAGCTTTTTAAGTAGGTAACAAAAGAATAATCCAGATTTCAAAAGAAAATGCTACAAGAATGAACACAGGTCAAATAATCAAGATTAGGTAGGACTCAAAATTGACAACATTTAAAGCACATAATTAATGAAAATAAAGTGGGGATAGGCAATGACTTCTAATTAACTAATAACAAATTCTTGAAACTTACTCAAGCTCAGGTAAAAATTGAATAAGAGACGGACTCAATATAATCCGCAAAGGCTGTTTCCGCTTTAATGTTTACTTCACATATATAAAAAGATGTAAACAGTATGATTGAATAGTTGAGATTTTAATGTATTTATATATCCAAAGACAATAAACATATTTCCAAAAGGTGTTTTAAATAAACTGTCTTCGAATCGGTCTTGGACATTATTCCTTCAGTCCTTTGCAGAAGATCATATGTACCGCTTGATTGAACATTTAAACAAACAAATATTTAGTGTTGGCTTATTTAATTTGTTAATGTATCGAACTAGATAATCAACATTCCGAGATTCGTATTTACTTGTTATGAATTTCAATCATATATGTTATAGTTTCTTTGTGCGCTCAATTTGGTTCTGTACGTTGTAATTCGGTTTTATAAGGTTTTAGTCCTATGTATATTGTTTGTTCATATTAAATTATTGCTGTGTACTTATAATAATCAATTTAGTTTTAAATTTTTGTGCATGTTTCCTAACTGTCTAGTTTCGGGCTTACTGGTTTTCATTTTCAACTACGTTCGAAAATCCAACTTAAGTGATTTTTTAATAAAATCAAGATTTGAGGAAATACGAGCAACATTCTGTGGTTGAATTTCAAACAAATTATTTCGAAGGTCTTATTGGTCACCATTGTTCTTTCTACCTCTGTTGGATGATAAGTGAGATCTCCTTCTAAATAGCCTTTTTAGAGGTGAGATGTCTGTTAACTCGCACTCAGTTTTATCAAAGTAGACTCTATGCTATGTTGGAGAAGAGACCTCTGGTTTAAACTGAAACCACCTCCAAAATGGTTGGATTCATACTTCCGTCTGTCATAGGTTTCCTAACTATTTCTTCATTCTTCTATGAACACAAGAACAACTTAATATCTCCTTCAAATAGTCGCATTAAAACTCGCCTCCTTTACATATTGATACTCCGTTTCAGCGTCTTTCTTGCGGCCTAAGTATTAGTTAATAATCGAACCATGGCACTGTATAAATTATTTTAATAAATTTGAATGGTTTTGTACGACTCGAAAGTCGCTTTTTGCAGTGCATTATCTGACAGAAAACTCCACTCTCAGCTGTCGGATATGGCTTCGGAATTCTCTTGATTCTTGTCTCAAACTGCTTAGTCGAGTTGCATGGCTCAAAACCACCTATATAAACCCTTACTTTAGTAAATAACTCGGATTTCCACGAATACTAGAGGTTGTTCACTTCGATCAAATAGACAGGGTGTGGTCAACCGTAATTCGTTTATAATGTTCAACTATTCAAACTTTTCCAAATAACAGATGTTTATTATCCACGTCTTTGTTAAAATGTCGTGTTTATGGTGCTTCTTAGGTATATTACATTAAATAATAATAATAATACATTAGACTTATTATTTATCACTTCTACTCTATCTTACAATGTTCTCAGAAACCTGAAGCGTTTTTAAGCACTTTGTACTATATCCTTCACAAAGTTATGAATCAAGTAGTAGACGATAACACCTGAAAGTCTCGCTAAGATAGTGTAGTCCTATCTGTTCATTTATCCCGACCGAAGCTGCTACCTTGACGTGGTGATCGGGCTTGTCTAACGTGATCACCCAACCGAACTATATTGGCTGGAAAATATATCCCTCAAAGTTCTACCATGCCAGGTAGGTCGATTGGAGAACGATGAGACTAAAAGGAGCTACTCAAGGCCTGAGGGCGAAGTCGTACTGCTGACTGCAGAGGGGTGTGACAGCAGTAAAGTTTTTTCTTTAGACAACGAGCATTTGCATCGATGCTGCCTTCTCACAAGGAAGAAAGTGTTAGAAAATGTCGACCCTGAGAATGTCACACCTCACCTTACCTCACGGATTTCTGTCTCCGTCGGTAAGGACTGCCCACTAAGGGCTTTCAAGAGCGAAGCTTACACTTTAAACACTATCCATGAAAAGGCCGTTCGTGACCGGCCTCAAGCAGTTGACCGTTGGGCTGTATGGTCACGCTCCCAGGTCTCTAAGATTACTATAAATCTACCTTCTTTTTCAGATTCCTCAAGAAACAACCTTCCACTGTGTGGGCAGCCGGGAAGTGATAACCGCCCTTATACTCGTAACAGCACGCGGGAGCAAATCGGTCATAATCAAAAATCTGTTCTTTTATATTACATAGATTTCCTACAGTTTAATAATAGAATAATATTAAGGAGTAACTAAGTATTATTTTCAGCCTGTGGGTACTGCTTCAAAGATAAGCAGCTGTCTTCAGCTCTGTCGCTGAAGTAAATTTGTCGCTGTTGTGACTATGTTAGCTTTAGTAATTAAACTAACTAGTTGAATTGGTTGCTTTAACTCATGGAATACGAATTAATTAAATCTTCTTATTGGTCTCTTTGGGGTTTAGTCTTAAATAAAAAATATGTAATTCACCAAAATCTGGCTTTGGTACCTTGTTATTTATGTATTTGTGCAAAACACAAATCCTAGCACAAAATGCATTAAAAAGTGATCTGTACAAATGAAGTAAAGATACTATAATGAAATAAAAATGTTAGGGGTCGCACAATTTACAAACATATGGAGATAAATGATATCTGTTGGAAGTTACTATTCAGTTAAAAATAAGAACAAAAAAGATTTTCAGTTAAGAGAGCTCATTTCACTTCAATAAATAGCATAAAAGAACTAAAATAGGCTCAATACTTTTTAATAGCCTTCCATTTCTAGTTGTAGTAGAAACTGGACCATCCGAATATTGAAATCGCAGTAGATTGAGTCCCTAAATCTACCAACCACAACTTTTAAAGCACACCACTGATTAGACATTCATTTTTCGAAACGAATCAACCTACATTAGATGTTATCCAGGAAATCAGATCCTAAAAACTGTGATTCATGGAAGAATATGCTGAGTATATAGTCACCTGTTTTGTCACCTAAGTTTTGCAGGTTATTAGTAAAAGGTCAGTAAATTAAATTTCCTATTTTTATTTTATTCATTTATTTAGGCATATAAACACTAGTTAAAAGGGGCTTACTTACGCCTGTTACCCCCAATGGAGCATAGGTCGCCGACCATTAGTACAAAGGAACACCTAAGTATGTATGCACCACACAAATCGAGCTTTTAGTGGGATGGGATACTGTCGGCTGTTCAACCCATTAGATGAATCAAGATAAAATATAGCGCTTTTTATCCATCAGTCAATAAGTTTATCCTCATAGTTGAACAGTGCTATATTTTTGGTCTTGGTTTGCCAATATTTTCAGTGATTTATGGTTACCTCTGAGTGTTACGTTTCCCAGCATTAAATGCTTTGTTAGAAGTTTCACTATCCTCATTGACTAGGTGTTAAAATAAATTCCCAAAAACCCAACATTCTCATTAAAAAAACTAATTTGCTGTACATGTAAGTCAACTAATACTTGATGTATAGTGCACATTTCATACAAGTAATTAGGCACAAACTACCTAGTTGGTTCGCGCGATCATTGTGGCTAATGTTAAGAGACTTTGCTTGATGGCTCAAAATGATTTTTTATGGCAAAGGCAAATCACCTCTTTGTTTTCCTCTAGATCTTAAGCTTATTAATTATCTCAAAAATTGTTTTCTTCCATAATATCTCATACCTGATCTTTTCTACCACCACTAATACTGGCATCTTCTTGTGTTGATGTCTGACAACTTGAAATGATGCATGTATATATCTTCCAGGTCTCACATTTAGTATGACTGATTTAATGTTGAGTCAACTGATCACCTCTTAAGGAACTGTTACATTAGCAAATAAATAAATTTTAATAATACTCTATCTTACTAAAAAGGCTATGTATAAACATTGATCTTTTGGTGTCGCAGAATGTAAAAAATTATTGTTTCACTGAAGTAGTAAATAAATTCAAATAATCGTAGACAATTAAAAATATTACGTAGATAGGTCGTATATGTTTTGCCTAAGTTCAGATACATCCTCGAAATCATATGCTGTTTGTTTAAATGGCCTGTATAGCGTTATCTATTCACAAATACGAAAACGGACGACGTACATCTAATGATTGCCCAACCATAGCTGCTACCTTGACGTGGTGGTCGAGCTTGCCTATCTTGATGACCCAACAGAGCTATACTGGCTGGAACATATGTTCCTGAAAGTTCTACCATGTCAGGCAGGTCGATTGGAGAACGATGAGACTAAAAGCAGCTACCCAAGGTTTGAGAGCGAAGTCGTACTGCTGACTGCAGAGGGGTGTGACAGTAGTAAGGTGTTTCCCTCGAACATCCAGCATCTGTAGCGATGCTGCCTTCTCACAAGGAAGGAAGTGTTAGAAAAGGTGGACCCTAAAAATGTCACACCTCCCCTAACTCACGGAATTCCGTCTCCTTGGATAAGGGTGCCCACTAAGGGCCTTTACGAGCGGAGCTAATACTAAAAAAACCTTTAATAAAAAGGCCGTGCGTGACCGGCCTCAAGCAGTTGACCGTTGGGCTCTACGGTCACGCTCCCGGGTCTCTAAGACCAACACTAATCTGTCTTCCTTTTCAGGTCCTTCAAGAAACAACCTTCCACGGTGTGGGCTTCCGTGAAGTGATAACCGCCCTCATACCCGTAACAGCACACGAGACCAAATTGATCTCAATAAAATCCTTGTGATGGATATCTAATGGTCGTGAACATTCTGCAAGAATCATTTAAGATTTAAATGTGTCTAAAGATATCTTTAATCATAATTTGATATTAGCTGAAAAACCACCAAAAAAGCGAAGCCATCAAGTTTATGTAAATCGATTGTAATGCAGTAACTTACTAATTACAACACTTGATAAGACTTGCGCATAATCGCAAATTGACTGAGTTTAAAAGTCAAACCATTGAGTTCAAACCTGATGACTGAGTGGTACTCTATTAGCACTCGAGTTTAATTCCATGTCCCTAACTGGTATCAGTAACGCTCATTAAATGTGGTTACATCAGTAATCTGATTCAATGAATTCGCATTTTAAAATGACCTATTCAAACAATTAGGTCATCTATTTCGTAACTGTAATAATCATTATAATGAATTTTCTTATTTTCGATTTGTTTGAATTGAATAACTATGTAATGTTAGCTGTATGTGCTCATCATATACACTGTAACAAAATGCTTATATTTAGTTGGGTTATTATTAAGCACTGAAAAGCTTAAACTAAGATGTTACACTTGTTGGCATATTTCTCTTCCTTTATCTGTTGTTTGATATAATTAGAGTTCATAAAATATCTACTATGAAATACGCCGATGGCCTAGTGACTGACGAAATCTCAGCTCGGATACAGAAGGCTCAATTGGCTTTTGCCAACCTGCGTCACTTATAGCGTAGACGAGATATCCGTTTGCTGACTAAAGGACGAGTGTACTGCGCAGTAGTTCGCTCCGTGAAACATGGACAGTGAGAGTAGAAGATATTCGTAGGTTACTGGTTTTCGATGATAGATGTCATCGAAGCATTGTTCGTATATCGTGGAACAACCGAGTAAGCAATGCTGCCATTAGGAAACGAGTAATAGGTAAGGATGGCAGATCAATTGATGAAGTATTGAAACTTCATCAGTTGAGGTGGTTGGGACATGTGTTACGAATGCCCAACCACCGACTGTCTCGATGAGCTATGTTTTGTGGTGTAGGTTTAGGCTGGAAGAAAGTTAAGGGCGGCCAAACCAAAACATGGCAGAAATCCATGAAGTCACTGACAAGTGGACTGAGTCATGTTGGTAGATGTAGGCTATCTGGTTGGAGTACACGAGACGGAAGTTATCGATTGTTAGAGACCTTGAATGACATGTCTGAAAATCGTTTGCGATGGCGCCGGTGCATTTATGCTTTGTGTTCGCTCAAATCCTAATCTTCTGGATTCTTCAACAACTCTAGTTTTGACTTTCTAAACTTTTCTCACTGAATCATACTTCTTGAATAATATCTTCTAATCCTAACCTCTCCGATTACTTCTAATACCTTTGCTACCTCTTCTACCATTGGATTTGAATTGACAATTATATCTCTGTGCTAATGTGGTATGGCAACATGTACCTATGTACTTACGTAAGAAGTTCTATGTTGCATCTGACTGACTGACCATGAAATACATACTAAATAGAAATTTGTTTTTCACTATCGTATAACTGACACTGAGAATTCTTTATTGTAACACACAATATTTATGATATGGAATGAAACTGTTAATATGATTATCATTAAACTAATCTATTTAATCAGTTAACCTGTGTTTAATGCGGCAGCTACAAACATGACATATAGTTTAAAATCAATTTCTCAGTGTCTCTATGATATGCTCTTATGAGAACGAAATTGAAGCCTCTACTTAAGCTGATTTCATCCATTCTTTCGCGTAATTTAAACATCATTAGTTGAGTTACTGTTATGGGTGTCTACTCAAATATCACGTATAGGTTTTACAATGTAAGTTTCGTTCAGCATCAGTGGTACTAGCTTACAGTTAAAAATCAAATTGTACTATATCATTCTTCTCGAAAATCTGAAATCACTTCCAATCTATATATATATATATATATATATATATATATATATATATATATATATATATATATATATATATATATATATATATATACTAGATATTTGGATACGAGGCACCCTTTAAATGTTAGGGCTAGTAAGACTATCCCTCAACCACCGACTGCCTTGATGAGCTATGCTTTGTGGTGTTGGAGTAGGTTGGAAGAAAGCTAGGGGTGGCCAAACCAAAACATCGCAAAAAATCCATGAAGTCACTGACAAATAAATCAAGTCCTGTTGGTAGATGTAAATTACCTGGTCGGAGTCTTCGAGACAAAGGTAATCGATGATTAGAGACCTTGAACGACATGGCTCAAAATCGTTTGCAATTGTGCAGGTGCTTCCACTTTTTATCTTCTCTCAAATCCTAGTCTTCTGAATTCCTCATCACCTTTATCTTTCTCCTTCTAAATTTATCTCACTGAATTACACTTCCTGAATAATATCTTCGCTCTTTAATCTTCCCCATCACCGCTAATACTTCTACTATCTCTACCAATATGGGATTTGAACTGACAGTTGCGTCTCTGTGCTGATTGGGGTATGGCAACCTGAACTTATGTAGGTACATACAAAGTTCTACATTCTGATTGATTGAACAATTCTAACCGGGTTGCTAAAACCGAAATAGGTGGCGTAAGATTTGAACCCATAACTTATTGAATGGAAGTTGGACAACCTATATATATATGTATATATATATATATATATATATATATATATATATATATAGTCATTAAATTATTCTTTCCTCTTGAATAATTTTCTTATTTCCTTATCACAAAAATGCAGTTCATCAGATATATATAATAAATTCGAAAGGAAAATGAAATTAATTATTCCTTTGTGAGCAATAATTGTAATCATCATCAGTAATTGTTGTATTTCCTGTTTCTTACTTTCTCTCTCTCTCACCCACACACACATCATATCACATTCTCTTTTTATTTATCAAAATTTCATCATAGACTTTCCTTTTCATAATTAATTACATTAATATTCACCTTTTATTTTTTTTTTAAAAAATAATCTCATTCATTAATCTATGTTCTTATTGGTTAATTTGATAATTAAAACTTGTCGAATGATTCACATCTATTTCGTTTTAAACCTTTATAATCTTCTCACTACTTGTTATTTATTGGAGAATGAAAGAAAAACATTTCCCCCTGATTTACATTGACGAATATATGTATATAAATGTATAAATTTGTCAACTTTATCCCGTCTACTGAAAAAAAAACATTCCACATGGATTGATCGCCTAATAAACCGACTTACTCATATTAAATCAATCATGGATGATAGTCGTGAACGTCAACGTCAGCGTAGTGTAAATCAAGCATTTGCAACACTTCGACATATATTACCTACACATCCACCAGATAAAAAATTAAGCAAACATGAAATTTTACGTTTAAGCATAAAATATATTCATATTTTAGAAACTATACTTAAATATCAAGAAGAAGAAGAAGAAGTAGAGAAGGTGGTGGTTGTTCCAATGATTTCCAATGTTTCGCATAGTTGCACTACAACAACGCCGTCATCATCATCAGGATTATTGGAATTTAAATAAACATAGATAGATTTTTCAAAATATTTATCTCTCATTCAACATGAGTTTTAGTGTTGATCCTATTATTATTATTTTTTTCTCTCATGTTTTTTCCTTCAATGATTATGAAGTTACTCCTTCATTTTTTTTCCATTGAATATTGATCAATCGATGATGTATTATTTATAACTGTTCTAACTTGTGTATACTTTGTTTGTATTGTTACTATTCATAAATAATATGTAAATTAACAATGAGTTAGTGTTATATGATTTATTGTTTTGTTTTTTTTTTCATTTATGTCATTTGAATGGTTGGTAGAAGAACATTGTAGACGTATTAATACGGATTGATAAGATGTCTACTATCCAGACTGATAGTATCACTTCCAATGATCAGTGAGTTTTTTAATTTTGTCTACAAGAGAGTGTTTGGTTAGCGTGTTTTTTTTGTTGGCAAGACATGAAGTCACTGACAAGTGAACTGAGTCATGTCGGTAGGTGTCGTCGAATACCACCTGGTTGGGGTCCGCGAGATGATAATAATCGATGGTTAGAGACCTTGAATGAAATGGTTGAAAATCGTTTGCAATGGCGCAGGTGCATTCATTCTTTGTGTTCTCTCAAATCCTAAACGTATTAAGTTTGTTTCACTAGATTCTACTTCTTGAATAATATCTTCTAATCGTAGTCTCTCCGATTACTGTTAATATCTTACTACATCTACCACTATGGGAGCTATGGTAACGTGAACTGATGTACTTACGTACGTATGAAGTTCTACGTTGCTATTGATTGATTGACAAAGGCGTGTGTTTATTTCAACTCCTTAATTATTATTATTGTTTTTCAATGAATTATTATTTATGACGTAACAAAATGATTCTAATAAAATTATTGTATGTAACGAATTGTAATCAATGATATTATTGTTTCGCTATGCATTGAAAACTATAAAAGAGATAGTTGAATGAACACAATGAAGGTCTTTTGTCAATATTACCATTGATTAAATGTGGATCTGTTGTAGTTAACAAATCGTTATAAACCATGTGATTTTTTTCTATTAACGGTTATGATATGAATATCTAGGTGGTTGAAGAATCATTTCGAGTGCATAGTTTAGTAATTAAAAGCTCTGTATCAGAATAACTTTTTCAAAGGTTCGTTATCTATCTAAATAATTGAAAGCAGTAAGTGAGCTTGCCTATTAGAAGTTTACATCACGGACTGGCTTTAAGTTGGACAACTATTGAAAGTCAGGAAGCATTGGACGTCTGTTTGGTTGTAGTATCAGTCAGTCAGTCAGTCAGATGCAACATAGAACTTCGTACATAAGTACATCAGTCCATGTTGCCATAACACATCAGCACAGAGATATAATTGTCAATTCAAATCCAATAGTAGAAGAGGTAGTAAAGATATTAGAAGTAATCAGAGAGGTTAGGATTAGAAGATATTATTCAAGAAGTATGATTTAATGAGAAAAGTTTAGAAAGTCAAAACTAGAGTTGTTGAAGAATCCAGAAGATTAGGATTTGAGAGAACACAAAGAATAAATGCACCGGCGCCATTGCGAACGATTTTGAGCCATGTCATTCAAGGTCTCTAACCATCGATTATTATCATCTCGCGGACCCCAACCAGGTAGTCGAAAATTACCGACATGGCTAAGTCCTCTCGTCAATGATTTCATGAATGTCTGCCATGTTTTGGTTTGGCCACTCCTAACGTTCTTCCAACCTACTCCCACGCCACAAAACAAAGCTCGTCGTGGCAGTCGGTGGTTCGGCATACGCAACACATGTCCCAACCACATCAACTGATGAAGTTTCAATGATTCATCTATTGATCTGCCATTCTTACCTAGCACCCGTTTCCTAATAACAGCGTTGCTTACTCGGTCGGGCGCTGAAAGTTTAATCTCCAGACCATTTAATGGTGTACATGTTTAACTAACTTCATTTCACAATGCTTGGCAACCATCGTATCCTTACCTTAGTGTAATTACTTTAAAATACCGCATTTTTAAATAGTGTTTACCTTGCTTTTTGATAAAACAGATTTTCTTTAAATATATTTTAATTAATCATACTAATTATAAGTTTGGACAATTTGTTTTTTTGCCAAATAATAAGCTCTTTAAGAACTATGTTGTTGGACTTAAGAAAAAAACATTTGCTCATACTTCCATGTCTAGCCGAATATATTCTGATTTTTCACACTATTATGATTGATTTTTCGGCCAAGTATTAAAAATTCTCCCTATTATTTCAAATTCATTACTTGCCTACTTGCACCTGTTACCACTCGTCGAGCATAGGTCGTGGACCACGATTCTCCAACCAACGCTGTCCTAAGCTCTCCTTCCTAGTAGTTCAGAAGCGCTATTCATTCTTTTGATGTCTGCCTCCATTTTTCAGGGTAATATGTCCTTTGATCTGCCTCCTTTCCTTGGTTCTTGAAAATTCCAAATCAAGGCTTAATCCAATAAAACTCCAGTAGGAGCCTTTCTAGGGTTACTGCCCTTTTCAAGCCTCGGATACAAGATAAGTGTTAGGTATGGGGTTAACAACTCCATCCTGTATAGAAAGAAAATGCTAAACAGAAAATTTCATCATTATTCATACTTTACATCTAAATGTTTCAAAGAATTTATTAATTTCAATTCATTGACTATTATATAAATTTATAGAGAGTGAAAATAGACTTTTCTCTTTATCTTTATTTCTATCACTAATAAAACATTTCATCTTACCGAGATGTTTGATGAATAAGATTTGTAGTTACAATTAACCTTTGGATTATTCGTTTTTTTTAAAACTAGACTGTCACTTTATGCTTCATTTATTCTAATCGAACTGTATGATATTGTGTTCAGTCAGTCAGTCTGTCAGTTACAACGTAGAACTTTGTTCAGGTTGCCATACCACGTTACACAAAGATGCAATTGTCAATTCAAAACCCATCCCGAGCATCTATGAGTTCGGTAAATGACACTTCTTGTTCACCTTCTGATTTAAAACCGTCAAGCGGTACTTAGTAACGATTCTCTGGACGAGCAAATTACGGAGTCTAGGTGTGGTGTGAGCTACTTATAAGTAGTATATGACGTGAGCGTCAACGTAATGTCTGGCAGCCGAAGATGGGGGAAGATCAAGAAAGGAAGAGTTAGAAGAACACAATGGAATTTGTATGAAACGCATGAATAGTGACGATAGATTGATGTTTTGCAACAGGAACAGTCCAGTTCGATATGATGAACTGATAATTTGCAAATGAACGATTTACGATATGGTTTTCCAATTTTACTGAGTAACTCTGTAATTTTCAATAAATACAATTCGGTTGCCCCACCTGTGTTCTTGTTCACTACATAGGAACATGTTGGATACCGACCGTCACGAGACTGGTGATACATTGGCCTCCACAAGTGTTTGCTAGAAATAGGTGGATATCTGAGCATAGTTACTACGGTCGGTCGCCACTATCTGTTCGATTAGCCGCAATACCATAAGATCCACCCAGGTGTCTTTCCTTTTCACTTAGTCTACCTACTTGAGCATTAAAGTCACCAGTCATTATTACTATATCAGAGCGCTTAACATTTTGGAGGAGGTCCGAAAGCTTTCTGTAAAACTCATCTTTAACCTCGTCTGAACTGCAGTCAGTGGGAGCATAGGCAGAGGTAACAGCAAGTGTCCCTACCTTTCTGAGTCCTTACTGTCCCGTTTATTCGGACAGCGAACAAGCGACTATCTAGTGGAATCTAGTGTAAGAGAGCTAGTTATGCCCTAGGACTTAATGCTATGCCTACGCCGGTGAGGCTTTGGAACGCAGCAGTAATTATATTGTGTTACGTTTTAGTATGCAAAGTGTGGTGATAGACAGCAAAACATAATATGGACTTTTTGAAAAAATGGAAATATTAACTGAGATAAATAAGCTTTTTTGTTAATCTTTTATCATTTGTAAATGAGTTGTGCAGGGCAGTTAAACGGAAATAACTAGCCTGACAAACAACCATTAAGGTATTGAGTATTTTTACAGCTATGGTTTAGCTGATAACTAATTAGTGAATTGAATTACTACATAGGAAAGTATAATAAATGACGCACTCAGTAATCTGATTGCTTGAGTGACAAGATACAATTCCACTGGTACACTTTCCTTCGCTTTTACAAATAACTAAAAAAATATCCATTTATTTTCCATGTCCATGTTTGTCTACTCAATTTTAATACGTTTACTGAATATTCAGGCCAATGATTTTATCTGTCTATTGAGTTTAAATTAGATGAAGCAAGCAACCTACTGGTTAAGAGTTATTAAGTGCTTTGTGTAGTAGTACTAAGTCAATCAATCACACAGTGAATATTAACCCTAAAATGTCCTACACATTCACATGCATTGGATAGTTGTAGAAAAATTGTTTGTATTGTAGTGAACAAGAACACAGGTGGGGCAACTGTATTGTATTTAGCGAAAATTACAGAGTTACTCAGTAAAATTGGAAATCGTTCATTTGCAAAATAACAGTTCATCATATCGAACTGAACTGTTCCTGTTGCAAAACATCAATCCATTGTCACTATTCATGCGTTACATACAAATTCCATTGTGTTCTAACTCTTCCTTTCTTGATCTTCCCTCCATCTTCGGCTGCCAGACATTACGTTGACACTCACGTCATATACTACTTATAAGTAGCTCACACCACAGTATGTGTAGATTCACAGAAAAAAAATCAATATCACTAGAAAAAAAAACAAAATCCTTTGATCAGTAATACTCTACATTGAACATGTTAATCTGGTTCTATATTTTCTTGTTGTGAATTACTACGATTTTCATGATTACAGTACATTTAAAACTCATGCGAAGAAATCCACATTATTTCTTCTTTTTTTTTTGATTTTTTTCCAGCCAAGACGTTTTAATGAATCCAATTCAGCAAAACAATATGATATCAACAAATGATACTACTATACGACATCGAATGAAACAAATCAAATTAAATATTTCAAATTATTTATTCAATGTTCAACATGAATCGAATTCAAATAATAATCATGATACTATGAATAAAAATGATGAATCATCATCTGAATCAACCAATCATCATCAACATCAAAATGAATCACACTATTTGAATACTGGCTTCACTTTGATTGGTTATACATTTCTACTTCAAATTATTTTACATATAATGACATTTTTACTGAATAGTCTTTCTTATCGTTATATAGATACAGCTAGTTTAGGTTTAGTTAATGTTCGAATTGGTTTATTTTATTCAACATTAATATTTACTTCAAGAGAAGCATTTCGTCGTGCATGTCTTAGTCGTGGTGGTGAATTAATCAATAATAATAATAGTAATAATAATAATAATAGCAATCGAGAATCCACTGATTCATCATCATCATCATCAAGTCCAACTGTCATTACACCAGCTGATGTTATTGTCAGTGAAGATTTTGTTGATGTTTCACAGTTGATTGAACATTCTACACTTAAAAATAATCAAGATTCAATTCAATGCAATAAACGATATACAGTACAATTGTATGAATTATTAAATCTTGTTTGGTTAGTGTAAGTTTAAATTATGTATAGGAAACAAATCATTTTTTTTCAAATTTAATAAGTAATTTAAAATCATGAATAGATTGATGTTAGATCACTATAACAAATCTGGCAGCACTGGAAGGCCGTTTCGTCTCAGTATGAGACTCATCAACAGTGCGTATCCGCGAATCTTACCACTCGCGGGAATCGAATTCAGGACCGAACCGACTCTCAACGGTGTTAATGTCTAACTTCTATCTATTCTCGGTCTTGCGCAACCTCATCCACTGTCTTCGGTGAGTCAGTCAGTTGCAACGTAGAACTTCGTACGTATGTACATAAGTTTATGTTGCCATACCACATTAGCACAGAGACGCAAATGTCAAGTCAAATCCCATAGTGATAAAGATAGTAGGGGTATTAATGGTAATGAAGAAGACTAGGGTTCGAAGATATCATTCAAGAAGTATAATTCAATGAGATAAGGTTAGAAAGAGAAAGGTAGAGGTGCTGACGAATCCAGAAGATTAGGATTTGAGAGAGCACAACGAATGGATGCACTTGCGCCATTCCAAACAATTTCAAGCCATGTCATTCAAGGTCTCTAACCATTGGTGACTATCGTCTCGCGGACCCCAACCAGGTAGTCTACATCTACCAACACAACTCAGTCCACTAGTCAGTGACTTCATGGATTTGTGTCATGTTTTGTTTTGGTCACCCCTAACGTTCTTCCAACCTATTCCTACACCACAAAACATAGCTCGTCGAGGCAGTCGGTGGTTAGGCATACGTAACACATGTCCCGACCATCTCAACTGATGAAGTTTCAGCACTTCATCTATTGATCTGCCATTCTTACCTAGTACTCGTTTCCTAACTATAGCATTGCTTACTCGTTTATCCCACGATAAATGAGCAATGCTTCTTAAACATCTATGATCGAATACTAATAACCTACGAACATCTTCTACTCTTCGGTGAGTACTGCTTCATACTCGAACAGAGTTGTACTCTACTAGTCATGACTTCTCACTAGAACTCAAAGAAACTTCCTTCACAAAACTAGTCACTAGTGTGCATATGATAGTTTTCTCTTCAGTGAAAAAATAATAATAATAATAATCATTTTACAATATTTCTTTTAGACTTCCTATCGGTTTCATGATGACTATACTGTTGAGTATCATATGGATATTTATTTTACCATCACCAAGTAGTTTAATGCATGAATCTTATTCAGAATTCAATTTAACATCATTGATTATTGAACAACGTTATTTCTTTTGTATCATCATTTATGCATTATCTGGTCTGTTTGAATTAATTACTGAACCATTTTGGCTTATTTGTCAATTATCACATGAAATTCGTGCAAGAATTTTCATTGAAACATTTGCTAATACTGCTCGTTCAATTGGTATAATATTTGCTATATTTACTGTACCATCACAATATGCTATTTATTCACTTAGTATTCCTCAAGTAAGTTTTAGTGGAATAAAGATTATTGATTGTTGTATTGGTGTTTCTTGCTCTGAAGTGGATGTTTTGATTGTGGAGTATGTATTGTCCGTTTGAACAACATCATCTACACAAACTTCAGTTAGAAGTGAAGTATATGGACTTCTTCACCTTATAACTCGTAGCTTGGTCTAGTTGATCTCAATCCTGATTGGTTGTTATATAAAGAATGAAAGCTCCATAACCAAAATATTCAGCTCAGAGAATGTTTGGCAACTTGAACTGATGTATGTACGTACGAAGTTCTATATTTTAGCTGACTGACTAGCTCAGAGAACGAGACTCCACTATAATCATCCACTGGAGCTACAAATTTTCTCTACCATTATTTGATTTATTCAGTAATACTTTTTATGATTTCAGTTAGATGGTCTTAGTTGGTAAGTATAGACTACCTGGTTGGGGTCTGCGAGACAATAGTAACCGATGGTTAGAGACTTTGATTGAAATGTCTCGAAATCGTTTGCAATGGTACAAGTGCATCCGCTCTTCTTGCTCTCCCAAATCCTAATCTGAACTCCTCATGACCTTTATCTTTCTCTTCACAAATTTCACTGGATTATACTCCTGGAATGCTATCTTTGAACCTTAATCTTTCCAGTTATTACTCATACTTCTACTACCTCTACCACTATGAGATTTGAATCGATAATTGCATTTCTGTGCTAATGTGGTATGGCAACTTAGACTGATATATGTACGTACTAAGTCCTACGTTGTTGCTGACTGACTGACTAGAATATATATATATATATATATATATATATATATATATATATATATATATATATATGAACTGTACACAAGAATAATATAGTGTTTTCTCACTCTATTCACTAACGCCGATTATTTAAAAGACGAATCTACCACCAAGTTGATCGTATCTTGCGCATGCATTAATCGAGACTCTATTTTAAACTGATAGTTAATTGAGTACTTCATAACCTGGTATTATGTTTTGATCTGACCGAAGCCTGTAACGTTTCTTCATCCTAATTCAGTTCCAGCTAGCATTGCTTTTCAAAATTGACAGATTGAATTTAACTAAGACAACTGTTAGATTCATTAGGATAGTGATTGAATTCTGAGGTCTATTTGAATCAGAAGACTGTTTAAGTTACTTTGATATGTTTATATATATATAAGTATCTATCAATAATATATGTGGCTATTGAGGGTGATAAGACAGTAGCAACAATCATTCGTAAACGGGAACGGCTTGAAAATATCTGTCCAATAGGAGCGTATCCAGTTTGTTGGCGAATCGACCAATCAGATACAATCTAAAGTGGTGGATTTTGACTACTTACAAGTAATATAGCCATAAAACAAGAATTTTACAACAACTCATTGGGATGTGTTCACACCAACGGCTGTTCATTATCATTTTAGTTGTAAAGTGATTGTCTAGCCGAAGTCAGTTGGTGATATAAATCACTGACTTGAAACTCTCCACAATAATCTTATTCACTGATACCGAGAACCTCGAGGTTGTACGTTTTCATTTCTGCCGAAACTTGAAATAGTCTTCCAGTCTCCCACAATGTACGAACGTTCCATGTACCTAAAAGAATGGTTGCTCTGGTTGTCAGAAGAGGCATCGGCCTCGTGACTTCCAAGGGAACTCGGCTTTCATCACGCGATGTCATAATTCTTCTTCCAACTGCCAGGTCAGAGTTAAGATGGTTTGAATTATTTTTTCTGGTTAGCGTTTTTTTTGGCAAGTTAGTTTTTGACGGAATGGGGTCGTCAACCCCATGTCCAACCCTCCTCCTTTACCCGGGCTTGGGACCGGCAGTAAACCCGAAGGTTCTACTGGCGGAGTTACAATAATCTTATTACTAATTATTATTTCAGTAGATAATTTGTTGTCTTTTATCTTTTGCTCGAATGAAATACAGTGTTTTAATTGTGTTTGTTTTAATTTTTGCAGCTTCTTCATGGTTCAACATTACTTATAAGTTACTTATTATATTTTCAATATGGTATATCACGTTCAACATCAACTGGTGAATTAAAACTTAAAGGAATAATAGGAATCACTTCTTTGAAAGATATTTTACCAAATTATTTCCAAGTTAGTTTTATATATTGCTATTATTGATATTATTTAGACAAATAAATAAAATTCAGTTAAGTACTTATTTTCTATGCGATGAAATAATCTGCAGCAACTTGGAATAGTCTTCCGATTTCCTAAAATGTTCGAAGATTTCATGTACCTAGAAGAATGGTTGCTCTAGTTGTCGGAAAGGACATCGGTCTCGTGACTTCCGAAGAAACTCGGCTTTCGTCATGAGACATGATAATTCTTCTGAATGAAGACCTTTTAACTCCAAGGACAGAGTTAAAATGGTTTGAATTATTTTTTCTGGATAGCGTTGTTTTTGGCGAGTTAGTTTTTTTTGTGAGATGAGGTCGTCAACCCCAAGCCAAACCCTCCTCCTTTTTCCGGGCTTGGAACCGGCAGCAGCCCTGGAGAGGCTGCAGGCGCAGTTGATGAAATAATCTACTTAAGCTTTAAAAAATGTAAAGGTTATAACGTCAGAATATTACCCAGAGTGTTTTTTATAAGTAGAATATAAAGTAATCAATAGCTCAATACAGAAGCACCTCATCAAACTTACGCACATTAGGCTGTATATATCGTCCTTCAAAATGGTATACTCGACGAAAAGAATGAGATCAACAATGGAGGTTTTGTCATAAACTGTTAGGATATTCATCCAATATCCTAAGGGAATTATTTGTAAGTCTAGTTCCATTGGTCAATTCCTATTGGTCGTCTTAACTATCACTTCAAATGTTGTTTCCTGTTGGTCATCCTAACTGTATAAATACGCAGTATCTGTAACGTTTCATGACCCGGATCCTTAGTTAGAGATCCTTAGCCTCCTCTGGACTCGGACCTCGTACTTTCTGGATGCTTTTAGAATACATGTTCTACTTCATATAAAGTCTTCTTATTTTACTCAATGAGGGTTTGGGACATTCGGGTTAGAGTTGTATGTTGTGTCGCCGGATCCTCGATCCTCGCTCTCGTTTTCCCAATAAGGTGATCTCATAATAGTTCAAGCATATCAAATGACATGTTTACGTGCATGCGTAACATAAACCACCGACTAGAAATCTCCAACCTACTCTATCATTGATTCATTGCTAGTTGTTACCAAGTAATATTCATTCCCCCGGATATCTACCACCATGAATTGATTGATCTGTGACTTTTCTTTTGGTGTTGAGAATCACAAGTCATGGCTTGCTTTGTGATGCAGTCTGTTAATTTTCACAATTTGTCTTCTATCCACCTTTAGCTTCTTTTCTTAATTTTCTCCTCTTCTGGAGACAAGTATCACAGTTGATTATTACTGACTAAGTTAATAAAGCTTGTTTCAGTATTATGTAAAAGTAGCTGTGATGATATTTATTGTTTTTCGGATGGAAAATTCAACATTACTGTCAGTCAGATGCAACGTAGAACTTCGTACGTAAGTACATCAGTCCAGGTTGCCATACCACATTAGCACAGAGATATAATTTTCAATTCAAATCCAATAGTAGAAGAGGTAGTAAGGGAATTAGAAGTAATCGGAGACGTTAGGATTAGAAGATATTATTCACGAAGTATGATTCAATGAAAAAAGTTTAGAAAGTCAAAACTAGAGTTGTTGAAGAACCCAGAAGATTAAGATTCGAGAGAACACAAAGCGTAAATGCACCGGCGCCATTGCAAACGATTTTGAGCCATGTCATTCAAGGTCTCTAACCATCGATTATTATCATCTCGCGGACCCCAACCAGGTAGTCGACAATTACCGACATGGCTAAGTCCACTAGTCAATGACTTGATGGATTTGTGCCATGTTTTGGTTTGGCCGCCCCTAACTGTAGATATATTTCTTCATAAACAAAGCTATCATTAGTGGTAAACGAAACACGAGAGACAGAAAATGAAATTCAAGAAAAAGGAATAAACCCCCCAAATAACATTTATAAGGCCATTTAATTTGTAATGGTTGTGGCGACGCGTTTAACATTTAACGTCAAAGGTATTTGATTAAAGTTCCTGAGTGAACAATAACTATAGAATGCAGGTATATCCAACTGATGAGTTCTAAATGGGACGAAAAGTGCCTCTTCAATTCCACTATTAACCATATCCAATCTATCCTACATAATTTTAAGACTAAATCTAATGGAAAATCAAGAGTTAAGGAATCTATGAACGATTTGGAACCATTTCACCTGGAATGTTCAACCATTGTTTGTGATAATCGCTCACATCCCGACCAGATGGTCTAGCTCTGCTCAATCTAACATTCTGTAACTTCATGGACTGGTACTACTGTAGTGAAGGAGAACACAGGTGAGGGCAACCGAATTGTATTTATCGAAAATTACAGAGTTACTCAGTAAAATAGGAAAACCATATCGTAAACGGTTAATTTGCAAATCTTCAATCCATCATCAATCCATTGTCTGACATTTCACTACTATTCATGCGTTTCATACAAATTCCATTGTGTCCCCACTCTTCCTTTCTTGATCTTCCCCCATCTTCTGCTGCCAGACATTACGTTTTCACTCGCGTCATATGCTACTTATAAGTAGCGCGCACCACACTACATTTCATTTTTTAATCACTCTTTGTTTGATTCCTGCACTAGCCAACATAACGTGGAAAAAAAATCACCATCATTTCTACTTTCAATGTTTTTCCTCAGTCTATTTGATCAAAATAATCTATGCTTTGCTAACATGAATTACTTATAATAAATTACTTGGAATGATTTCATTTGTTTTTGTCTTATTTATTGCCCCCCTCCCGCATGAAAGTATTCTATCGATCGACAAGGCTTACAACTTGTTAAGAACTTTTTTGGTCAATGTATACTAAAACAACTTTTAACAGAAGGTATGTAGTAATGTCTTTTTTTTTTAATATTTAACATGAATTAACAAATGTTTACATTGATAATATGACTTAAAAATTTGTCAATAATCTTTATCGAACTATTTGAGGTTGTAATATTCTTGTGTGTGGGAAGAGATGCTGCTCGAGTATCTAAACCAGAGTAGGTGGTTTGCTTAGATGTACTGCCCATCAAACCCTTGACCTGGAAGTTTAGTACTTAAGAGACCGGAACAACATCAAGAAATACAGTCCAATGTTAGACAGTAACCAAAAGAATTATGTAGATCATTTGTTTGAAGTCAGGGTATTTAGACTGCTTTAATTGGTCTATCCGTGTCTACCAAGCTGGTTTAGGCTCCGGACATTCAATTTTTATCATGTCACTTCCATCAAAGGCATCCAGCTCCAAGTGAAGATAGTAAGTAGACTAGAACTTTCGTAACAGGGGGCTGTTAAGTCATACATGTTCGAATCAACTCGGCCTACTTCTGTTTTTACAGTCGATTAGCAATAGTAAACGTCACAGTAAAAAATATTTTAAGTTGACCTTGAATGCATGAAAATCTATCTCGATCATTTTGTTAAAGCATTGAAATTAAACTACAGTTATGTTGAATTTAAAATTCAGTACCGCTAGATCAGTTTATATTGTCGTAAGTAGTATGTGGCAGAACATCCTGTGGAGGTTGCTGCAGTCAGCAGTTGAAGACAAGTTTCAGTAGCTTAAACCATGGGGCATTCGGCATACTTTGAAGACCAGAAAAGAAGCGAGAGATAGAACCAGCTTGCTTATCAGAACAACAAAATACGGACATATGACTGAAGACTAGGTGTACATATTGCATAAACATTCTGACATTTTGCTAAACATATCCTCCTACCAGTGATTTGGAGTCTCTGCTAGTATCAGTGTAAGAACAAATCCCTGGCAGAATGAATTTACGTTTAGCGAAATATTATAATGTTTGTTCAGTCATGCATTTTACCTCCTGAAACTCTTGTCTTCGGTTGTTGATCGCTGCAGCCTCCATGCACCACTCTGTCACATACTACTTATGAACAATATTGTGAGTAGCATCCATCACACTGAGATTGATTTTACTTCATTTTAACTTTATATTAATCAAAATAGACTAATGATCTTAGTTTATCTCAACTTTTGTTGTTGATATTTTCAGGTGAACGATATTTAATCAGTGCTTTTCATTTGATAAGTTTCAGTGATCAAGGTAAGTAGAAATGCTAATTTGTATCGTATTTGTATGTCTGTCCTCTATTTTGAATTTATTTTTATCAGTGGTTCAAACACAGTTTAGTTGATCATTGCCATCTAATAAGTAAATTAAAATTTCTAATGTTTTGTGACTTAGTATAAGCTACTTCTTCAGAATAAATCAATTTACATGTGTATGTGTGAATATATCATTTACACTAGGATGATTTTTCAATGCCATCTTAAAAATGTTTCCATCGCAGTTTGTCCAATGAAACTATTCGTAATTAGGTATTGTAGAGTGATATAAAACGCAATCATTCCTTCAATGTTCAGCTTTTTCTATATTCTTGACGTTAATCATTCACATAGCACTATGTGGTCTCTCAGTCCTAATTGATCAATGTAAGTTGGTCGATTTTATAATATTGTTTCCTGAATGATTAATTGACGTGGATGAATGCGGGTCTTCAATATGAGACACAAGGCGTTCTTTAAGGCCAATCTGTATGGATGATAATGTCAGAAGGATTTAATGTTGACCAGTTTGGTCTTGTGTGCTGTTACGGGTATGAGGGCGGTTGTCACTTCCCGGCTGCCCAAACTGTGGAAGGTTGTTTGTTGAGGAACCTGAAAAGTAAGATACATTAGCGTTGATCTTAGAGACCTGGGAGCGTGACCACAGAGCCCAACGGACAACTGCTTCAGGCCGGCCACGCACGGCCTTTTTATGAGAAGTTTTTTGAGTGTTAGCCCCGCTCTTGAAAGCCCTTAGTGGGCACCCTTACCCAAGGAGACGGAAATCTGTGATATAGGGTGAAGTGTGACATTTTTAGGGTTGACATTTTCTAACTCTTCCTTGTGAGGAGGCAGCATCGCTGCAGATGCTGGTTGTCTAAAGGAAAAACTTTATTGCTGTCACACCCCTCTTCAGTCAGCAGTACGACTTCGCCCTCACACCTTGAGTAGCTGCTTTTCGTATCATCGTTCTCCAATCGACCTGCCTGGCATGGTAGAACCTTCAGGAACATATGTTCCATCCAATATAGCTCGGTCGGATCATCACGATAGGCAAGCACGACCACCACGTTAAGGTAGCAGCTACGGTCGGGGATGATAATGTATATATATTAATGAAATCTAGTATGTAATAGTGAGCTTCAAAGTCGAAATACATCCCTTAGTGAATTTTAAAAGTATCGATTGGATGGAAATAATGATTTGCAGTAATTTTTCCTTACTGCTATGGATCAAGGTCAAAGGAAAAGAGGAAAGCCAAGGAACACATTACGCTGAGAAATGGAGACAGACATGAGAAGAATAAATAAAAATTAGACAGAACTGTAAAGGGAGGCCCAAGAAAAATTAGGTTGAGGAATACTGGTCAGTGGCCTGTGCTCCAGTGGGGGTCACAGGCGTAAGTAAGCAATTAAATAAGCTGTGAATCAAACCAGTTTGACTACTGTTCTCATACGTCTATTTGGTTATAATGGGACATTTAAAACTAACAACGAAAAAATTACTTCTCTTTCAAATTGTTGGCCTTGGATCTTATGATAATATGAGTCTCCATCGCTTTCATTCGATATGAAACTCGAGCACTTCTCCCTCGATTCTTATCATGTTTCAAGCGTTTAACCTAATAGTCGGAATTGTCATAAACAATGATACTAGCTCAGTGGTCTGGGTATTAAGCGTTCCCACTCGAGACCGAAGGTCCTGGATCGGATTCCCTCGATGTGGGCTCGTGGATGTGCCTTGCCGATGAGTCCCCATACTAGTGCGAAACAACTGTGGAGTGATTCTAGGCTTTTGATGATGGACTCATGATTCCAATGAAATTAACAGTTAAAAAATTTAAAAAGAGATGAAATTTTATTGATTACGCTATGCAAAACGTTCTATAAATGATATTACTAATAAAACTTAAGGCTATTTGAAATATAATAAAGTCATATCATTCTGCTAACTTTCTTCCTATCTTATTTGTGAATCTATCAAAGAATTAGGATGTTGATGATATTTTTAGAAAAATGTTTATTGTGTTTAATGCGAACGGTCACTACTAATCTGATTATTTATTTTTACTGGTTTAAAACATTTATTTCTGAAAATACAAGGAAAACAAAGATATTTACGAAAAGCACCATACTTAATATCAAATCAGTGTCGCCAGAGATGGTGTACACATAAAACAAAATGTGAATCTTTATATATTCAAAGACTTTCAAATTCTGATCACTTTTATCAACACCCCGAAGGCTGATTTAATATTAACCTTATCACTTGTGGCAATTAAATGTTTCACAATGGAGGCAGATGTTTATTTGTTGTATACTCTTATTTTACCCCAACCGTAGCTGCTACCTTAACGTGGTGGCCGGGCTTGCCTATCGTGATGACCCAACCGAGCTATATTGGATGGAACATATGTTCCTGAAGGTTCTACCATGCCAGGCAGGTCGATTGGAGAACGATGATACGAAAAGCAGCTACTCAAGGTGTGAGGGCGAAGTCGTACTGCTGACTGAAGAGGGGTGTGACAGCAATAAAGTTTTTCCTTTAGACAACCAGCATCTGCAGCGATGCTGCCTCCTCACAAGGAAGAGTTAGAAAATGTCAACCCTAAAAATGTCACACTTCACCCTATATCACAGATTTCCGTCTCCGTCGGTAAGGGTGCCCACTAAGGGCCTTTAAGAACGGAGCTAATACTCAAAAAACCTTTCATAAAAAGTCTGTGTGTGACCAGCCTTAAGCAGTTGTCCCTTAGACTCTGCTGTCACGCTCGCAGGTCTCCAAGACCAACACTAATCTATCTTACTTTTCAGGTCCCTCATACTCTTATTTTATAGAGTATTGGAGATCATTTATTTTGTCAACCATTTAGATGCTTATTTAGTCACCCTAATATATATACAGATTACAACTACTCCCTTGCTGTAGAGTAATATCTATCCACATATATATGGGAATAGATAAATTATAAAGAGATATGATAAAGTAAAGACTTGAAATTTTGCAAGCATCATGAGAATTAGGCCGCAATGCATTAGCTAAACTATATTGATTTTCTCATTTTTCTTCTTCTTCTCCTCTATATAGGCATATATGATCTTGTCAATAATTTGGGATCTTTAGCTGCTCGTCTACTATTTTTACCATTAGAAGAAAGTTGTCATTTTATGTTTAGTCAATGTATTCAAAGAGATATCTCTCCAAATAAACAAAATAAAGTAAGTATTCATTTGAGTTGTGTAATAATAAAATCTTAAAAATCGATCATTGTTAGTCCATTATTAAAAACCTGGATGCAGTCAGTCAGTCAGTCAGATGCAACGTAGAACTTTGTACGTAAGTACATCAGTTAAAGTTGCCATACCAAATCAGCACAGAGATATAATTGTCAATTCAAATCCAATAGTAGTAGAGGTAGTAAAGGTATTAGAAGTAATCGGAGAGGTTAGGATTAGAACATATTAATCAAAAGGTATGATTCAGTGAGATAACGTTAGAAAGTCAAAACTAGATGTGTTGAAGAACCCAGAAGATTAAGATTTGAGAGAACACAAAGAATAAATGCATCGGGGCCATTGCAAACGATTTTGAGCCATGTCATTCAAGGTCTCTAACCATCGTTTATAATCATCTCGCGGACCCCAACCAGGTAGTCGACAATTACCGACAAGGCTAAGTCCACTCGTCAATGAGTTCATGGATTTGTGCCATGTTTTGATTTGGCCGCCCCTAACTTTCTTCTAACCTATTCCTACACTACAAAACAAAAAATACCTGGATGCACTGGACAGCCGCCGCCCTATCCTAGTATGGGACTCTACTCGTCAGTGGCAGGGCGCATTCACGACCTCCATACATAGGGAATGGAACGCAGGACTTTCGGTTTTGCACACACGGACGCTTAACCTCTAGACCAATGAGCCAGCATACAACAGTGTTAATGTCTAACTTCAATCAATCCACGGACATTGCCCAACCCACCATCCATTATCTTCAGTGGGTAACTGCCTCACACCCGAACAGGGTTCAACTCGACTTCTCACTAGAACCCCGAGAATTTCCCCACAAAGCTAGTCACGGGTGTTATGATGTTAATATAGTAAAGTCATGCCTATCGCAGGCTTAACTCTGAATACACGGTGATATCTAGTGGAAAAAATCGATAACATGCTCGAATACTTTTACTTCTTTATTCTTGTTTAAATTTTTGGATATGGACGTTATTTGTTGTGATCATAGGATATTAGAAGAACACAACTTATGGAAATCTTGAAAATAGTTTTGTTGCAACCTGAATTAGTTGGTTATTATTTATGATATTTTCAGTGAGAGTTTTGGAGATTTGTGTTTTCACACATTTGAAATCATCAATCAATCATTGTTAGACCACCATTAGAAACCTGGAAGTATTGGACGGCCGTTTCGTCCTGGTATAGGACTCATCAGCAGTGCGCATCCGCGACTCCTGCACCTCGCAGCATTCGAACCCGTGACCTTCGGTATTGCGCGCGAACCCAGTTATGAATAATATTTAAGCTGGTACTAAAATAACACTGTGAAAATTCAACAGATCACGAGATTCTAAATAGGGCTATGAATATTAGTCTGATCTATGTATATATCATTTGTTTATACCTGAAATACACTTAGTAAACTCAAGAATAATGTATCTATGCAAATTCTTGAATTCGTACTTTAAATCTATCTGGTTACTAAAACTCATTACTTCCTAAGGAGGATTTAATCCTGTGGATTTACCAACGAGTCTAAGGGGTTCCAAATTAAGCTTACTCGATGTGTTCTAGGTTGTATCACTTGTCGCTTAGACAGCTTGTTTGTCTACCAACCAAAGAATGAGTACACTGTGTAATAGTACGTTCTTTTTCGATTTCCGATTACGAAACGTAGCCTTTATAAAGTAGACGGTATTTGTTGGTTATTAGCGTTTGGTCATTGATATCTTCAAAATACTACCGACGTATGTTGCGATCATTAAGTGAACAAGGCTAATAGTTAAGGCCACCTAATCTAAAACGTGACATCTGTTTGTTACGATCATTGGATATCCAATCAAGGATGTTGTTTACGAAATTGAGAGGACCAGAGCTTTAACTAGATCAGTGAGTATGAAGGATCCACCTACAGCAGTCGGAAAATGCTGATTCAAAACAAGTAGTGCAAATGGGCTACAAAATTTTGTGAAAACAAATAACATATGAAACTCCGCCAGTAGAACCTTCGGGGCTACTGCCGGTCCCAAGCCCGGATAAAGGAGGAGGGTTGGACATGGGGTTGGCGACCCCATTCCGTCGAAATCTAACTTGCCAAAAAACGCTAACCAGAAAAAATAATTCAAACCATATAGATTATAAGTGGGATTGCTTTCTTATTACTTACTGCATCTAATGTCAAGTCATTTAGACTTATGACTGTATTGAAACTTTATCGATACGATTCGATCCGTCTTGAGCGAGGGCTGAATAAACATGATATCGACTATTACATTTGACTGTTACTTTGAAGTCGGTTCCTACCTAAACTGATGAATAGTGCGGTCTTACTAACTCCAACTGGTGGCGGTTGATGGAATGTGATTAGTGAAATTTACAACTTGTTGATTGATTGCATAACTGTTATTTCTTGTTTTATTTTGTTTTTTGTTTTTCTTCATTAATGTACAGAAATTACTGACAGATGCATTTCGTATGCTTAAATTCGCTTTACGTTTATCAAGTCTTATAGCATGGATTGGTATAACTTATGCACAAGCTAATTCTCGTTTATTATTAATGATTTATGCTGGGCATAGATTAGCTGATAATTACACAGCAGTTAATTTATTACAATTATATTCTGCCTACGTTTTATTACTTGCATGGAATGGTTCCACTGAAGCGCTGCTGAATTCAGCTATGTCAACAGTAAGTTTCTCCCATGTTTTATGATCACTATCGTTTTTTTGTGAAAGTTAGTTTTTTAAGAGATGGGATTGTTAACCCCCTACCCAACCGTCCTCCATTATCCTGGGGTTGGGACTGGCAGTAACCCCAGAGGGGCTCCACGCGGAGTTATAAATATCTGGTTAGCGTTTTTTTTGGCAAGTTAGATTTCGACGGAATGAGGTCACCAACGCCATGTCCAAACCTCCTTCTTTATATTCGGGCTTGGGACCGGCAGTAGCCCCTAAGGTTCTACTGGCGGAGTTGTTATAAGTATCGTTTTAATATAATTTTTAAAAAAAAAAGACGAAACATTGTTCCATTGATAAAATGTTTAGCTTAAATCACTGGCATGAAGTTCACTTCGATTCACTAAATTTTAATGTTTATAAGTAATGATTATTGTGTATCAGTGACTTTTTACACTTTCCTAATCACTGCTGACACAATGCTAGCTGGTATAGGATGGAAGAAAGGACCACAGGCAGTTCAAAGAAAAACCTGTTCTTAAAACTGTTACTACTTATGTAGCCTATTTTTGCAGTATTCACCTGAACTTATTTTGATTCTTGTATTTGGATTTAAGCCACATTCTTCGATTGTGAAGGTTAGTCACACTACTAGGTTTCCCAAATTTGAAGTATATGAAGGAGTGAGAACTTGCATTCGATTGGTGGAAAGTTAATAATACTAACCACTGTGCCACTGCTCAGTCTATCTACTTATATTTTGTGTAAAGGTCAAAAGTATGTACTAAATTTAAACTACAGCCCCTAAATGTCTTGGTGTGGCCGAGAGTGGGGAGAATTCAGTGTCCCTCTCCAAATGTTCCCATATAGCCAGGCGTATATAGCCACTATCAGGAAAGCCCTACTTACTGCCTTCTCGTGACAGAGGTGCTCTTTACAAAATCTGGAGGACATAAAACACATTTCTGGCACCTGAATCGGTTTAGTGTGTACGAAGAGTCCACCTAGGAAAGTTGGAAAACTCTGATTCCCAACCAACAATGTATATGGATTCCAAGATCCCGAAGGAACAAATATCGTATGAACGTGTTGTTAGTTACCAGCTACCATGGGACTGTATTTCCTAACGTTACTCCACTGCTTCGTGAGTTACACCTGTAAGTCAGAAACCTATGGGGTGGCTGATCAAGAAACCTACCCGATTCGTTTTGGGCACCCAGACTCAGTTCATACACAAATTCAATGATTTTTGTATTGCATAAATATCAAGATACCCCTTTGTACCAATGTTTATATTACTTGAATTAATAAGAAATCACAAACTAACCCTAACCATATAAATCATATAAGTTCCTTTACAGGATACTATTTAGCTATCACAATAACAATAGTTGATTTTAAATGGTCAAGCATTTACTAAAAAAATATGAAGGCCTCAGTTTCTATCCCTGACGGTATCGTGAGTGCTCATTACTGAGAAGTTCAATACTTGTTAGAATATTCATCAAATATCCTAAGAGAATTATTATTTTTGGAAGTCTAATTCTATTGGTCAGTTCCTACTGGTTAATGTTATGGTCATCCTAACTGTCAGTATCACACACTTAATTCAATGTTGTTTCCCATTGATCATCCTAACTATCAATGTCACTTCAAATGTTAGACATTAACACCGTTAGGTACCGGCTCAGTGGTCTAACGGTTAGGGCGTTCGCGCGCAATACCGAAGGTCTTGGGTTCGAATCCTGCGGGGTGCAGGGGTCGTGGGTGCGCACTGCTGGTAAGTCCCATACCAGGACGAGACGGCCGTCCAGTGCTTCCAAGTTACCAATCGTGGTCTAACGTAGATCTATTCATGGTTACAAATAAAATTCAGACGTTCTTTTATATTGGTCGTCCTAACTGTCAATGTCACAGACTTCAAAATGTTGTTTCCTATTCGACCTAACTGTATAAATATGCATTATCCGTAAAGCTTATTACTCCTTCCTTCAATTCCCTCTGTACTCGAGCCCATAAGCAACTTCATCTAACGGTGTTGTGTTCTGATATATATTGAAGATTTGGGAACAGTATTTGGCTGTCGTATTGGAATATCAGTCGGTAGAATTTTGAATAACTCTACATAGCAGCATTATAATAATACTGTGGTGTGAGCTACTTATAAGTAGTATATGACGTGAGTGTCAACGTAATGTCTGGCAGCAGAAGATGGGGGCGGAAGATCAAGAAAGGAAGAAGAGTTAGAACACAATGGAATTTGTATGAAACGCATGAATAGTGACAATGGATTGATGTTTTGCAACAGGAACAACAGTCCAGTTCGATATGATCAAGTGATATTTTGCAAATGAACGATTTACGATATGGTTTTCCAATTTTACTGAGTAACTCTGTAATTTTCGTTAAATACAATTCGGTTACCCCACCTGTGTTCTCGTTCACTACAATACTACATGGTTTTCAATAGGGAGGGTTTCAACTCAACTAAATCAGTCCATAATAAATACAACCTATAAATTAAATCAATCTCCGCAGTAAATCTCTTCAACTTATCCGTTCATTCATAAAGTGCTACTTCGTTTCTTCTTTGTTTTTTTGCATAGACTGAAGTTTCACATCATAATCAACGTTTAATTATATTTTCTATGATATTTCTTGGTGCAAATTGGTTTTTTGTACCAATATTCAATGTATACGGTTTTGTATTGGCTAATTGTATTAATATGATAATTCGTATTTTATATAGGTAAGATTAATGTATAAATAATATTGTGTATTGTTAAAATGTGTATTTTGATTGTTAGTTTGAAAGTGAACAAACAGCACTTGCATTATTCAAGTAATCAGTTCGTGTTATAGATTTTGACAGAACAATCAGATAAAATTGATCTTTAGAAAAAAGGTGAAATGTATTGTACATATTGTGCTATCTGATCATACATTTGTTAATCAAGGGCTGAAGTAGTGAAACTTGATCAGTTGAGGTAGTTGGGATATGTGTTGTGAAGGCCCAACCACCGACTGCCTCGATGAGCTATGTTTTGTGGTGTAGATGAGTAGGTTTGAAGAAAGCTAGGGGCGGCCAAACCAAAACATGACAGAAATCCATGAAGTCACTGACAAGTGGATTAAGTCATGTTGGTATATGTTGACTACCTGGTTTGGGTCCGCGAGATAATAGTAATCGATGATTAGAGACCCTGAATGGCATGGCTCAGAACCGTTTGCAATGGCACAGGTGCATCCATTCTTTGTATTCGCTCAAATTCTAATCTTCTGAATTCCTCATCACTTTATCTTTTTAAGTTTATTTCACTAGATTCTAGTCCTTGAATAATATCTTCGAACCATAATCTCTCCGATTACTGGTAATACCTTTACTACCTCTACTACTATGGGATTTGAATGGACATCTCTGTGCTAATATGGTATGACAACTTGAACTGACGTACGTACGTACTTACGTACGAAGTTCTACATTGTAACTGACTGACTGACTTATCAAGGGATACATATGTATGAACACCAATAGTCGAATAAACAATGAGTGATGATTGTAAATAAAGGACAGAGAAAGAGAGTGGGAAAAATAAAGTAAATTAAAAGAAAGATTTATTTCATAGAATTTCTAGTCGTTCGTTTAAACTGAAGTCAGACTACGGGCCCATTAAAAGTTATTTAATTTTTTAAAAATTAACACTTTTAGAATGATAAATAAGCGAATGCGTAATGATCAAATTTAATTATGGTCTAGTATGTTAATAGCTTCAAGGTAACTTAGTAGAAGACTCTTAGGTCTTAGGTTTCATGTTAACTGATACTTTTCAGTCATTCAAGGTCTCTAACCATCGTTTATAATCATCTCGCGGACCCCAACCAGGTAGTCGACAATTACCGACATGGCTGAGTCCACTCGTCAATGACTTTATGGATTTGTGCCATGTTTTGGTTTGGCCGCTCCTAGCTTTCTTCCAACCTATTCCTACATTACAAAACAAAGCTCGTCGAACAAAACGTGGATGCTCACTGCGGATGAGTCCCATACCATGACGAGATAGCCGTCCAGTGCTTCTAGGTGGTTTAACAATGATTGATTCATACTTACTGGGTGTCTAGTTAAAGTCATTTCGACAAAATACACCATAACTATTTGAGTTGTTATGTCGTAATCCTAATTAGTGGATTATTTCTACCTTTCATAGTACATATGTATATACTCTCATTTGTCTCCCTACTAATTTTGGATTCTGTTTTTTTTTCTTATTTTATTTTGTCTTAGTGTTTATTATATTAATAAATTTTTGGAAAAAATCGATAAACCTGTTGACAATGAAGAACAAAACAATAAGAATGGTAATCATGTCATTATTGATAGTACTAATAATACTGGTATGAGTAGTAGTGATAAATCATCACTGTTCAAATTGGCATCAAATTGTGAAATTGAAAAATTCTCAAATATTTCATTAATATCATTAATGTTACCATCATTTAGTGAATTATGCATTCTATGCATTTCACTTGTATGCACTTTAATTTCACAAGTAAGATTATATTTGGTTTTTTTGGTTATTATATGTTCGTTGTTCATGTTAGGATATTCATCATCCAATATCCTAAGAGAATATTATTGGTCAATTATTATTGGTTAATTTCTATTGGTCAATTTTATGGTCGTCCTAGTAGACATCAATGTCACGTGTTCCAATGTTGTTTCTTATTGGTTGTCCTGACTAGCAATGTCACTTCAAATGTTACTTCCTATTGGTCGTCTTAACTGTCAATGTCAAAATGTATAAATACGCATTATCTGTAACATTTCATGACCACGACCAGGACCAGGACCAGGTCCCGGATTCCTGATCCCTAGTCCGGGATCCTGATTCTCTTCTGGATTCGGACCTCGTACCTTCTGGATGCTTGTAGAATACATGTTCTACTTCATATCAGGTCTTCTTATTTTAACTAAATATGGAGGTTGGGATAATCGGATTTGAGTAGCATATCGTGTCGCCGGATCCTCGATTCTCGCTCTCGTATTCTGACTAGGTAAACTCGTAATGGTTCAAGTATATCAAGTTGACGTGTTTACTTGCAGGCGTAACAGTTCATATCGAAAACGATTCAATTTTATATGTTTAATAATTTTCACTTTCTATTTGTGATAGATTGATCTTAGTTGAGGCGGTATTGAAAGTCATGAGTGAGGGAAAACCATTTCTTTCCATTATAAAACTTCGTACTACTGTGAACACATAGCCCCAGCCAGAGATGGGATTCAAAACTTGTGTATCTCATGGAGAATGTCTATTAATTACAACTACTAAGTCGAAGTTCGAATAATTTTTTTGATATTCAGGAATGAGAATCTAACATCAGTTATTACAATCTGAATATATGTCTGGACTATACTAGTCATGACTTATATCTATCAGCCTTTCGTTTTCATTGATACCCACACTAAAATCAATCTGTGAAATTATCAAGATGATAGCCAAAGTGATATAAGTAGTATCAGTAATATTGAGAAAATGATTAAACAGTATATAGTTTTGAGGAGAATAAATTCGTAAAATCGAAAAATATGTAATCATTTTGAAATTTAAGATCTGGGTAGATTAAAAACGATTTCGAGGCCTGCCACCTGAAGCGCCCAATCACCGACTTCAACCAGGTAGTTCTACATCTACCAGCACAGCTCACTTAAGTAGTCAGTGACTTGATGGACTAATACCACGCTTTGGTTAAGTTACCCCTAGCTTTCTTCTGAACCACTCTGGTATTAGCCAGTCTTATGCGTCATAGGGAGCGGTGGTTGGGTATATTTATTATACGTATCTCTCACTACCTGTATCAACCATTTTGTCACTTTCCCCTAGTACTGTACCTAATCTCTCAGGCTGTTCTCAATTTTTATATAGAGACTAGCTATTGCAAACAATGAAATCATTTCACTCAAACTTTCTGTTACACATTCTTACTAAGTGATATTATGTTTTCAATCTCTCATTACGGGGTTGTGAATATTGTTAAGTTTCTCTGAGCTCAGAGAACCAAACACCACCACCACAATCATCCACCTGAGCTACAAATCTTCTCCACCATCTCGAAGATTGTTAAGTTACACATTTTTGAAACCATGAATCGATCAATGTTAGACCACCATTAGAAGCCTGGAAGCACTGAAAAACGGCCGTTTCGTCCTAGTATGGGACTCCTCAGCAGTGCGCATCCAGGACTCCTGCACCCCGCAGGATTCGAACCTTCGGTCTTGTGTGCGAACGCCTAACCGTCGGACCACTGAGACGGTTTCTAATGGTGGTCTAACATTGATCAATTCATGGTTTCAATCTCTCAGTTAAATGTTATACTCGGCCATATTTTGTCTAATTTATTTCTTGTTCTTTTTTTTAATGCCTTTTCATTCTATTTCAGCATATTTTCTGTTGTTCATTCGGTATTTCATGGATGATATTACATAGTACAATTACTGTCGGATTCTTATTCATTACATTGATAATAATTTATTATGAAGAAATTGATATTTTCAAACTTATTTCAAATCGTTTACCATTTTTATTACGACATAAAAAATCACAATAATCTTGATATACTTTATTTATTTACACATATTGGTGGTGTGTTATTGATTTCAAACAAATGAAAAAAACTAATCATGGAAATTTTTCTTTTTTCTCGATTGTAGTTGTCTTTCACCGTATTTATTGTGATATACATATTCTCTGTTTTTTTCTGTTGAATAAACAATCAACGAATTGTCATAATTCATTTAAAATGCGATTGAATCTTTTGCTTATATTTGGTTTTGCTTTTTAATCAACTAACTGTATATAAGCTGATATTTATTCTATAAATGGTGTTTTGATTTTTCTTTTATCGATCGATAAAGGGGTGTGTGTGTGTGTGAGTTGTCCTCGGAATGAATGACTCTGTCCGGATTGACCTTGAAAATGTCAACCAATCGGAAATGAATGTAAATCGAAACTAGGCATTGATTGGAGGTGATGATTGAAATGCTGGCAGTTGTAAGAGATTAGAATGCAGGCTTTTATTGGACGATCTCTGTAATGCAAAAACCTTATGAGAATGAATCTATCAGGATTTTGCTATCATTATATTAGTGTGGAAAACTTAATACTTTTAAACTTCTAATCATAACAATTTTAACCGAACTTACCAACCCTGACTTCATTGAGTTCATGTTCGGGATATGGTTCTCACCCTCGAAATGCAAAATGTTGCTTCAAGATTGGGTTGCATCGGCAACTGAACTAGTGGTAGGGAGTGAAGTAGTTGAACGTGTAGACCGCTTCACTTATCTTGGGAGTCTCATCAGTGCTGATGGCCTGGTGACTGACGACGTCTCAGCACGTGTACAGAAAGCTCGATTGGATTTGCCAACTTGCGTCATTTATGGCGCAGGAGAGATATCCGTCTGCCAACCAAAAAATGAGTGTACCGCGCAACAGTTCGCTCCATTCTCCTATATGGATCCGAAACGTGGCCAGTGAGAGTAGAAGATATTCGTACGTTACTGGTTTTCGATAATAGATGTCTTTGAAGCATTGCTCGTGTATCCCGGGACAACCGAGTAAGCTATGCTGTTGTTAGGAAACGAGTACTAGGTAATGATGGCAGGTATGCCTAACCACCGACTGCCTCGTCGAGTTATATTTTGCAGTGTAGGAAGAGTAGGTTGGAAGAATGCTAGAGGCAGCCAAACCAAAACATGGCAGAAGTCCATGAAGTCACTGACAAGTGGACTGAGTCATGATGGTAGGTGTTGACTACCTGGTTGTGGTCCACGAGACAATAGTAATCGATGGTTAGAGACGTTGAACGACATTGCTCAGAACCGTTTGCGGTGGCGCAGGTGTATTCATTCTTTATGCTCTCCCAAACCCTAACTTTCTGAATTCCTTATCATCTCTATCTTTCTCTTTCGAAATTTAATTCACTGAATTATACTTCTTGATTAATATCTTCAAATCCTAATCTTCATTACCGCTAGTATTTCTACTACCTCTACCGCTATGGGATTTGAACTGACAATCGCGTCTCTGTGCTAATGTGGTATGGCAACCTGAACTGATGTACTTACGTGTTAAGTTCTACGTTGTAACTGACTGACTGGATGAATGAGAAAGTCATCATCTGATTTATTAAGAATCCAAGTTGTAATAAAAAGACATAACATCCAGTACAAACTTATTCATAATAGCGTTTATATACCTATTAATATTTATGATTGATTACCTTAATTTTGATGTATCTCTCAAGACTGTCAGTAGAATATACTTTCACTAAATATTATTTTCGCTTAATCTAACTAACTTTGAGACGAATGTCGGAATTCCTAGTGTATTTTAACCATATCAGTATAATTGTTAAAAATAGTTTATAGCTGCAGAATTATATCATATATTGTTTGAACAGGATTTGGATTTATTGCGCAATCTAGGTGTTTTGAACAAGAATACTTTTGTTGTGCAAATTAGGGTAAGATGATAAGTTGTACACTTCCTGGCTGGTAGATTGTCTTCTTCAATTAAAAATGGTTATCTAACCGGGGCTTCCGTCTTCTCTCACGTTTTAATTGAAACACTATGCAATGATAAGTTTATTTCTCATTATGGAATTATAGAGATTACTTTTGATCACTGAAATCATGAATTGATCATTGTTAGACTATCATTAGAAACCTGGAAGGACTGGATGACCGTCTTGTCCTGGTATGGAGTTCAATCGTTTCGGGTAAAGACAGTAACTACCGAAAACAATGGGTGAGGTGTCGCGAAATTCCTAGATTGATCAAAGTTAGTCATTAGTACCGTTAGATTTTGTGCCAGAGGTTAGACGTTCTCGTACAAAACCGAAGGTTATGGATTCGAATCCTGCTGAAGAGTCCTGTTTTAGGACGAAACGGCAGTCCAATGCTTCTAGATTTCTAATGGTGATCTAACAATAATTGATTCTTGGTTTCAGTGATAAATTCATTATTGACAGACATAAATTTTTAAAGTGCATAATTTATTAGTATATACCTGAAAACTTAATAACTCAAAAGTTCGCAAGAAGAGAATTATTTCTCATCTAATTGTTTAAATGAATTATATTACAGTATTTTGTTTTAATGAATTTAAACTGATAAAATGTTCAATAAACGATTAAAAAAATATGAATAAATAAACGCGTTGATTTAATGTGTACGGTATATTTAATTAATGCTAAATGCATAGTCGATCAATGTTTGACCACCATTAGAAACGTGGAAGCACTGAAAGATGGCCGTTTCGTCCTGGTATGGGACTCATCAGTGGCAGTGCGCATCCACGACCTTTTCACCTCGCAGGATTCGAACCCAAGACCTTCGGTCTTGTGCGCGAACACCTAACCATCGGACCACTGAGCCGGCATTCGTTGGTGTTAATATCTAACTTGACCAATTCACGGAGTTGCGCAACCTCATACATGGTTTCAAAAAGATAGTGTAACTTAACAATCTTCACAACCCCATAATGCAAATGCACAGTGAATCCAATATTACTGAATGATGAATAACAGTTTAAAGAATATCAACAAAGAAAGAAAATTTTCATTTGTACAATACAACTTCAACTGTACAATTCTACTTATAGTTAACTCTTCTTACAAATAGTAATTTTTTTAAATATTTAAATTTTGGCGAAAAACGATGAGAATAATTCGAACCCAGGACCTTTGACATTGTAGGCGAACGCTTCACCATCGGATCACTGGGCCAGCATCAGAGTTAGACATTAACACCGTTGGATGCCGGCCCAGTGGTCCGATGGTAAGGCGTTCGCCTACAGTGCCAAAGGTCCCGGGTTTCGAATCCTGCGAGGAGCAGGAGTTGTGGATGCGCACTGCTGATGAGTCCCATACCAGGACGAAACGGCCGTTTTTCAGTGCTTCCAGGTTTCTAATGGTGATCTAACAATGATTGATTAATGATTTCAAATGTGTAAAAATGCAAACCTCTAAAACTGTGCCCCGAAATGAGAATAATAACGATTCCCATTGTGAAAATAAGTGAACAATATTGTTGTTTTTGATTAGATCGTTATCAGGCCTCCTCTATGTGCATTTTTACAAATTCAGCTGCTCCTATGGAGATAGCTATATCGGGCGTACTACCAGGTAGCTTAATCAAAGAATGAGTGAATAACATCTCCCAGCTTAGTTTATGAGGGGTCAGTTAAAAACAATACGCAGTTCTTTCTTACCACACCTGGTTGATAGTAGTGGTCTTTTCGGGTGATCTATCGTATATCTGAATCATTTTCCAACGGAGTTCAATCCTGTCTCCTACACATAACAGAAGCCATAGGAAATCGTGCATTCAACCCTAATTTATGTGTTCGTGACACCCTTATCTCTTCCGTGGCCAGTTGTGTAACTTAACCAACGTTTTAGATAATTTTTTGTATTTTTATTTTTGTTACTATAAGCATTATTTTCAAATCCTGTATTTGTTTGTGATTTTCTGCCTCTTTCCGTTTATATTCTTCCCTACCTATCTAATTATGTACACACTTCTTATTACGTAATGGTGTTGATGTTTTGTAATGATTATTTGAAGTCTATTTATCCACGTTTGACCTACTATTGATAAAACTTTTGTTATCGCATTTAATTTTTCTTACTACTACACCTGTCTTCCTACTGTTATCAACTTGTACTTTTGCCTATTATGTGTGTAGTGGCGTAATCTCTGTTTCATTTCATTGTGATTATTGTCTCAAATTGACTTGACTGGTTAAACATTTTCACATAAAAATATTCATGTATATTGTGGAGTTAAGCCTGAGAACAATGAGAAGACGTAAATGATCTAAATAAATCTTATTTATATGCGCTGTACATTTCGAACAATCTAGTCACACATCTAACACTTGTCCAGGCATTTTATCTGAAAATTAATGAGGGTCAGTTAAATAGAAGTTCAAATAAAGCTGAGGTGAAAATTGTAAATAGAGGAGAGAGAAAATTAACATAATATGGAAAGAATAGAAAATTGTGGAGCTTTCATTATTCTTCTGAACCATCATCATCAGTGCAAACTTTGGATAGAAGTGAAGTGTGAAAATTTCTCTACATATGGCTTGTAGCTTGTTCCGTTGACCTCGAACTTGATTGGTTGCTGTTGATCATTAACCTGTCGTTGTTTGCAGCTTTGTTTTGATTGTATCCCCCTTTTTTGATCTGTTTCTTGATCCTATGTTTGCCTATGATTTTTCTGATTGGTTGATAAATTGGGTCAATGTCGATATGTTTGTTGATTGCTGAGGGCCAAGCTCCTAAAAATTCTCTCATGTTCTTTTCAGTATTTCAAACTCGTTCCAATCAAATTTTTGTCCATATTTGTCTGTATGTACTAATATGAGGGAAGAAACGTCCTAATGACTGACTACTTGTTAATGTTCACGCAAATAAAAGTGAAGGTGACGTCCACTTTGTTTGAAGTTGTGTTTTTTACAGTCTGAGCAGTTTATTTTGTCAGAATGAATAACGCACATACATCATATCTTTCTAATCAACTATTGTGGTGCGCGCTACTT